GGCTTATGTGAAGTTTGTGATAATGAATTGCTTTTCTCTATTTGTAAATTTTGTGCAGTGGGACTGAGGAGATAGCTTGGGATTTATTAATGATATTGAAGGACGTAGAAAAAAAATTTTTTAAAGATTTTATTTATTTATTTGACACACACAGAGAGAGCACAAGCAGGGGGAACAGCAGGCAGAGGGGGAGGGTTAGAGGGAGAAGCAGGCTCCTCGCTGAGCAGAGAGCCCGATGTGGGGCTTGATCCCAGGACCCCCGGATCATGACCTGAGCCGAAGGCAGATGCTAAACCGACTGAGCCACCCAGGCATCCCGGATGTAGAAAAATTCTAAGCAAAAATCTATAAATAAGATACCAACCGGCACTGCTGAGCCTTGGTTGAGTAAGGGCCACAAAGAAAAATAAGCAATCATTGATCAGTGTGAATATATACTCATCAACATAAACAGGCCTTGAAGAAGACGGGTTTTGGTGTTTGTGCTATAATTTCATAATTTCTCCAAGGGGACTCCAGCCCTTAACTCTGACCAAAAATACATCTAGCTCACCAACTTCCTGAGACTTGAATTTCCCCAAATTGAGATTTATTGGCCGAAAAGTCTGTCCTCATTAAAATAAAAATGTACCTAATAAGGAATGTAGAGTACGGACGGTCACGTACCAACTGTATTAGTCCCTGAAGGAATGAGTTTATCAGATCTCTTCCTACAGCCAGTTACACAAGGAATGGAATTTAGAGCAGCCAGGGCTGGGTGTTTAATAACAGAATTGGATACCTATATAGGTACCTTCATTATATGACTTGTGATTTCTTAAAATGCCCAGAAAGTCTTTTGCTCCTCTAATCTCTATGTCTAAAATTTTCTCCCTTAAATCCAGTGCTTTGAATTAAGGTATGGTTACTAAAATGCATGACAAAACTGTGTTGCCTGGGAGGGGTGTTTCACTGAGCTATGTTTACCCAACAGGACATCAGAATAGCTGATATTACCAAGCACAATTTAGCCATGTCTTTTTCAACTATTTGTTCAATTATAATGAGGCCTAATCTCACCATTTTACTTAAAATTGCAGCCCATTTCCTTCCCTTTCTATCATCTTTCCTTGCTTTATTTTTAAGGATATAAAAAATTGTGAAAAATCTCTTTTATATTTATCCACATACTTATAATTTTAAGTGCTCTCCAAGTTTACATTTATATTATATATACAAGGTTACTTTTTACAATTTCAGGGGCTCCCCAAATTATCTTTGTCATTCTGCCTGTAGAAATTCCCCTAACATTTCTTTTAGTGCAGTCAGCTGACAACAGAATCTCTAAGCTTTTGTTTGTATGAAAAAATCTTGATTTCACCTTCAATTCTGAAAGATACTTCCACTGAATACAGAATTCTAGAGTGCTAATTGTTTTCTTTCTGCACTCTAAAGATGTTATTCCATTACCTTCTTGCTTGCATTGTTTCCCGTGAGAAATCTGTAGTAATTCTTATCTTTGTTCCTCTGTATATAATGTGTTTTTTCCTGTGGCTGCTTTTAAAAATGTTCTCTTTATGATTGCTGTTTAGCAATTTGATTATGGTATAACTTTGTGTGGTTTTATTTGTGTCAATTCTGCTTGTAGATTAAGTGAGCCTCTTGGATACATGGGTATATATAGTTTTCATCTAATTTGGAAAATTTTCAGCCATTATTTTAAAAAATATTTCCCCCCCTTTCTCTTGCCAGGACTGAAACTACACCTATGTTAGACTGCTTGCTAGTGTTCTAAAGGTTACTGAGGTTCTATTAACTTTTATGTCAGTCTTTTTTCTCTCTGTCTTTCTGGAGAGTTTCTGTTGCTATGTCTTCAAGTGCCTTGATATTTTCTTCGGCAGTATATAATCTCATGTTAATGCAATCGATTATTCTTCTTCAGATATTTGTATTTAAGTTTCTAGATGTTCCATTTGTTTTTTCTTATACCTTCAATTTCTTTTAGCGTCATGTTCATTTTTTCTTTAAATTATTGAGCATGTTGAATATATTTATAATAGTTAATTGTAAAATCCTTCTCTGCCAATTCCATCATCTCTGTCACTTCTGGGCTGTTTCTGTTGACTTATTTTCCTCTTGGTTTTGGATCAGATTTTTCTGCTTCTTCCATATCTAGTGTATTTTATGTTTATTGTATTTCTTTAAAGTGTATTGGGCTTTCTTCTGGCAGACTTTCTTTTAAAGTTTGATTTTAAGCGTTTCTAGATACATCTAAAATAGCCTATGGTAGTCCCCATGTATTTATTAAAATCTCTTCCCTCTGTCTGGCAGGAATTCAAATGATCCCAGGCTGCATGAGCTCTGGGAATTATTCTGCTTAATACTCTCTGGTAATTGGTTTTGTCCAAGAAGTGGTTTTTTTTCCCCTTCCCCCTCCCGCCCTGCCCCAGACCTGGCCTCATTGTATTTAACTGTACTCAGATTTGGCATGGAACCGTAGTCTCAAGTGGACCTCTGTGCAGGTTTCTGGAGCTCCCCTGTGCAAGCTCTCTCTGTTCCAGTATCCTACCCACAGATTCTAGCTGCTTTGGGCTCCCCAACTGCTAGCATCTGTCTCTGCAGTTTAGCACAACTACCAGGCTGTGTTTGCTTTGCTTTCCCTGCACCCCTGTTTGGAAATTGCCTCTAGGAAGAAAGTCAGGGTGATCACATTTATTCCCCCCCACCTTTTTTCCTGGAACTAGATTCCTCTGCTGCTTTTTGACAACATCTGAAAACAGTTGTTTCATATATTCTAATTTTCTAGTTTAAGGCATAGGGCAAGTCTGAACCCTATTACTCTCTCATGGTTCGAAGAGGAAGTTGCAAACCCACTTTTTCTTAAAGTATCTCTTCTGTATACTTTTCATGAAAATTCTTATATGAGAAAAGTTGAGCATATCTTCATGTGTTTAAAAGCAATTAATATTTGAAATCTCTATTCATGTCTTTTGTCCATTTCCCTTGGGTTGTAGGTCTTTTTATTCTCAGTTTTGGAAGCTCTTTATATTATAGACTTTAGCTTTTTGTCTGAGATATAAATATATACACTTGAAATTTCCACTGTTTATGGTGTGAGAAATGGATCTAATTTTATTATTGTTCATATGGCTATCCAGTTGTACCATCACTATTTAAAAAAATGGAAACTCATCTTTTTCCTACTGACTTGAGATGTTACCTTCATCAAATATTAAATTTCTACTTGTTCTCAAGTCCTTATGCAAGTTTTGTATTCTACTCCAGCCATTTACCATTCTCTTCATGTGCTATTATAGAAGCTTTGTAATGTTTCCATATCTTAGGGTTAGATTTTACACATTGTGCATTCTCCCCCAATCCCACCCCCCCCCAGGATTTTCCATGCTATTCTTGTTGTTTATTTATTCTTTCTTATAAACTTTATAATCAGTTTGTATTCTCCAGAAAAAAACCGAGGCTATATTTATTGAGAACATGTTACATTTATAAGCAGACTTAGAATTGATATATTTTGGTTGAGTCTTCTAATCCAAGAACATGGAATGTTTTCCTGTTTGTTAGATCTCATTTGTGTCCTAAGTATGTTTATATCTTTAGCCATATAGGTTTTATAAAGTTCTTGTTGGATTTTTACCTAGGAATTTTATTTTATTTTTCTATTATAATGAGATCTATTATTATATGTTCCAACAGATTACTATTTGTATATGAAGTATTTTTTATTTTATTCCTGCAATTTTATTGGTATTATTTTTAGTATACTTTCATTAATTCTTTTGAAGTTTTCAGATATATAATAATGTCATCTGCACATACAGATGGTTTTACTTCTTTCTTTCAGATTCTTTTGCCTCTAATTCCGTTCTCTTGCCTAATGGCATTTTCTCTTCCCTCCTATACAATATTAAATACAGTGGGCATCCTCTTCTTGGTGTAGGTTTTACTGGAAATGTATTAGTTTGCTAGGGCTGCCATAACAAAATAGTATTGACTGGGTGACATAAACAACAGAAATTTATTTTGTCACAGTTTTGGAGGCTAGAAATCAAGACCAAGACGTCAGCAGGTTTGATTTCTCCTGGGGCCTCTCTACTTGGCTTGCAGATGGCTGTCTTCTTCCTGTGCCCTCATGCGGTTTTCCCTGTGTGCACACATCCCTGGTGTCTCTCTTGGTGTCCAAATTTCCTCATTTTATAAGGACACCAGTTGGATGAGGTGTTGGGTTAGGGCCCACCCTATTGCCTCATTGTAACTTAATTACCTATTTAATGGCCCTTTTTCCAATACAGTCATATTAGGTCTTCAACATATGAATTTGGAGGGGGTGGGGCACAATCCAGCCTATAACGGCAATGAATATTTTTACATTAAGAATGTTTTCAATTCATCTGAAGAACTGTCTATTGATTTTTATGTATTTAATATTTAGACATAACGAATGGGTATTGAATTTGGCAGAATGCCTTTTCACGTGCTCTCGGTCCCACCTCATCACATCCCCTCAGGTATTTCGAATCCTGAAAGTTCCATTTTCTTCCTTGTACCTTCAATATTCTCTTCCTACTACCTCTTTTTCTCAGTGTACAAGCTTCATTACACTAAAAATGTTCCTCCCAATACCCTTTCCCTCTCTTTTTCTTTTATTGTCAAAAATTTAAAACAGAGATGGATACTTATACCTTCCATTTAGGTCTACATTCAAGGGCTGGTGTTCATTTTTAAATGTTATGCCATTCCTTGTCCATCTCTCTGCTCATAGCCAGTGCACCTCTGTGCAGATGTACCTGTAAATCAAAATCTGGGTTTTCCATGCGTTTTTGAAGAGCTGTCTAATTGTCAAGTCTTTCCTGGGCTAGAGGGAGCTCCTGAGCAGGCTCTTTGATTTCTGTCCTTGAATTTTAGGTATGTTGCCACCAGGTGGCAGTAGCTAAAGGAATCATCCAGTCTGAACTGATACCGAAGATGTTTAGGCCTTTGTTGATTTTTTTTTTTTTTTTTCAGGCGCTCCACACAGGGCCTTTATTCAAGAAGTTCATGATTCACCCACAATACCTCAATTCTCATGCCACCTCCCATCAAGGCCGAGAATGAGGGCAACAAAGAGGTGGAAGGTCCTTGCTGTGAGAGCTATCTATGAGTGTCCATTCTCAGTCAGTCCATGGAAGGTGGGTTCAGTGTTTGGAGGCAGGGCTGCAGGCTGGCTTAGCAACGTGTTCAGTATGCTGATTTGGGCATCGTGCTTCTCAATGTCCTCATATGGAGTCCAGGACAAGTCATACTGTAGCTTGTAGGCACCAAGGAAGTCATGTGGACAACCTGTCCCCCATTCCTTCCTGGCTTGTTCTTGTAAATGTTGGATTTGCTCAGCTATGACCATCAGTTTGTTGGTGGCATTTGCTCGGATGAATTCATCAGCCTTCTGCACCTGCTCTGCGAGCGCCACGAGGTCTAAGGGGTCCCTGGCCCGGTGGGTGTGGTAGGGGCTCACCAGGGCCAGGCCGCCGGGGGTCGAGGTGCGCTCCACCAGAGCTCCTCCCCGACCGGTCGCCGGCTGAATTCTTTGGTTTTCGGGGACCTCCTCCGCCGGCCCCAGCTTTGCAGCGTCCTCCATGACAACACCTGAAACCTCCCCACCCAGGCCTTTGTTGATTTTTAAACACCATCTTCTACTTCTTTTTCATGGAAATATAAAAATGTATATAAATATGTATTCAAATATGCATATGTTTATATATGTATATATATTTACATTTTTATATATACACATATGCATGTATAATTTATTTAATGGAGGGATATATATACATATACATAGTAAAATAGTGTGTGTATTTTACTTTAAAAAGTAAAATAAAAGCAAGCACTAGAGTTTGTCACGTGATAAATGTTACAACCCTGTCCAATATCCAGATCTATAAGTTGTGTTACTTTGTTTCGGTCGTCTTTGAAGAGCGCCAGTGTGGGGATTCCTGCGAGGCATCCACCAAACGGGGGAGGGGACAGGGTAGGCGCCTGCCTCCACTGTTCCTGAGGTAAGCAGTGCCAGGGTTGGAGTGAAATTGTGCATGGTAGCCGTTAAGGTGTGCTTCATGTATGATCTCAAAGGCCATGATTTCCTTTTCTATAGTATCTAGGACAGTGTTTGAAGGAACCACCTCTTGATTACTACTGAGGCCTCCAATTTATCTACATGTAAAATAAAACGCTTTAAAATATCATCTTATGGCGGGGCGCCTGGGTGGCTCAGTTGGTTAGGCATCTGCCTTCAGCTCAAGTCATGATCCCAGGGTCCTGGGATCGAGCTCCGCGTCGGGCTCCCTGCTCGGCGGGGAGTCTGGTTCTCCCTCTCCCACTCCCCCTGCTTGTGTTCCCTCTCTCACCGTCTCTCTCCCTCTGTCAAATAAGTAAATAAATAAAATCTTTAAAAAAATAAAATAAAATCTGGCACCTGGGTGGCTCAGTTGGTTGAGTGACTGCCTTCAGCTCGGGTCATGATCCCGGAGTCCCGGGATCGAGTCCCGCGTTGGGCTCCCTGCGTTGGGCTCCCTGCTCGGCGGGGAGTCTGCTTCCCCCTCTCCCTCTGCCTGCCGCTCCCCCTGCTTGGGCTCTCTCTCTCTCTCTCTCTGCCAAATAAATAAAATAAAATAAAATAAAGTAAATCATCGTATGGCCACAATGATACAGACAAAGGATATTTTCCTCCTGCATTTGGAGAGGAGCCTCTGGGAACAGCCGTAATTGGAAACCATGGTCTTGAGCTCAGAATTCCTGCCAGGCTAACAAGAAAAATAAAGGGACTAAGCTCTTCTTTTCCTGGAATGACAGGGAAAAGAAGCACGTAGGTTCAGGACCGCCCTCGCCTCTGTTATCTGAGCATTTCCCCTTCTAGCAGCAGGAGAGAGGGGCCTGTAAGACCCAGCCCCAGCTCCGATGTCATCACTGGGAGAGTGGCTGCATTCCACGTCTGTTGGCATCCTTCCCAACCTAGAGTCCCACAGTGGAATGTTTTGGATGTGGATGTTGGTTTGGATTTGTCCTTTCCTCTTGTTTGGAGAATTTCTATCTCCAAATCAAGAGAAGGTCTAGTTTCCATGCAAAGGAAGAGGAGCGAGGGAGTAATGGCTATCCTTTCTTGTCCCTTTCCACACTTCAGTGTGCTCTTCCCTTTTAAATTCATCTGCAGGTCTGAAGCGTCCACAGGTCCTCAGCCCCCAGGGCATAGCTCCAGTCCAAGAGGGGCGGCGCTAGACTGTGCGCCAGAATCCAGTACTGACAGCATGTCAGAGAGATTGAGTAGTTGCCCAGGCTACTCAGAACTTGGCCTCGAACCAGGTTCAAAGACTGAGACCTGGGAAGACCTCCTCCCTTTGTAGTTGTCAGGCTTAGTATCTTTATTTCAGGTTTTCATTCACTTTATCTCTGAAGGTATCATCTCTGATGGGGGCAGGTCCAAAGTTTCACTACCTACCTACAGATTCCATTTAAAACTGGTCGCAAAACAAACAAACAAACAAACAAACAAAAAACTGGTCACTCTCTCTTCTTTGCTTTTCACCCTTCCCCACTTCTTCAGCATTCATTCTCTTTTTAAAAAATTTATTTATTTTAGAGAGAGAGAGCATGAGAGAGCATGAGCAAGGGGAGGGGCAGAGGGAGAGGAAGAGAATTTTAAGCAGACTCTGCACTGAGTGAGGAGCCTGATGTGGGGCTCAATCCCACGACCCTGAGATCATGACCTGAGCTGAAATCAAGAGTTGGACATTTAACTGACTGAGTCACCCAGGCGCCCCAGCTTTCATGTTCTTCATAAATTCCCTTGGAACTTGAGTGTAGGGTAAACCATCCAATTTGACTGTGCTGTTTTCTACTGGGACTCTGAGTGGCCTTGTCTTAGTTTTCTGGGCAGGCCCTCAATTTCCTTGACCTAGACTCTAACCTTACCTCTTGGCTAGTCTCCTCTGTGGGAACTATTTTATTTCCCACCAGCCACTGATTGTGGCCCTACTATGTATGTAAAGATCACCAGGATGCAGGCAAATGATTCCTGCCTACCTTCCTGCCTTTGCTTTTCTAGCGCCTGTGCCTTATTCACCATTCTCTATGCTCCCTGCCTCACCGCCTACCAGATTTGCTCTGCCCTATGGATCTTGTGCACTAAGTCAGGTCTTATATAGTTGCCTGCCCCAGCAGCCCACAGGAAGGACAGGACACAGGGAAGCTAAAGATTAAGACTGATAGGTGCACATCTCTTTGCTCCCCTCCCCCCCAACAAAGAGCTCCTCTCCCAAAAGAGCTCCCAAATTGGATTGGGAGTTCTCTGGGTTGCTCTTGACTTGAGACACACTTTGTATATTTACCCCAAATTGCACAGGGGTTCCCAGAAACAGATCCAGACTCCGACCAGTGGAAAGAAATGGCTAGGCTAAGAGGGAAATAGTCTTTTAAAGAGGTTGTATCTTAAGATTTCTCAATTATTTCTTGGAGGTAGTTTAAAAATTAAAGGTATGTCTCAGTAGTATCAGTATTGAACTATATTTAGTGGAACTTTATAAGGGAGTCTTTAAGATGTGACAAGGAGGGAACCTGCTGCAGGCAAATGATTGCCCCATCTGTGAAGGGGCCATGGCTCTGGCCGAAAGCAGATGACTCCTGTGTAGAGGGTGCCTGTGTAATTTCTGTGCCCCAGGATGATGAACAATGGGAGGAGTCTTTTCTCTTTGTCCACATTCCCTCCTGACTCAACCCCAAGAGAAAATAATGAGTCCTGAGTGTTGGGGCTAGGAGACAGTACTGGTGATGTATGGCCCCACTCCCTGTGCCTTCTCTTTTTAGGGCAGGCCTGTCCTCAGGAGTTTCCTCCTCTTCAGAGTGCCCTCCCTTTGCAGGGAAGACTATGCTGGTTTGTAAAGTTAATCTGGGGAAGTAGGGAGGGACTTAGAGAGTCCTTTTACGGTTACAGCTCTAAGGTGTTTAGTTTATCTTTTTAAAATATAGCTCTTGTGAGACAAATGGCCTGCAGACTTCCCCTACCCTTTTCTGCAAAGATGTTACTCTCTGAAAGAACAATAATCTCTGGAATTTGGCCTGTTTGTACTTTTTTTTTTTTGGAGGGGGGGTTTACTACACCAACAAAAAGAGCCTGGGAGGGAAAAGACAAGTATAAATACACACTGAGTATTGCGTGGAAGCAAGAAGGAAGGGCTGTTTTTACCCCACTGGAAAGATGGTGGAGGGGCTAATGACCAGTCACAGGATGTGAGAACTGTTCTCCAGCCTGGAATGCTCTCCTCCCCCTCCCTTCCCTGGGGTGCTCCAACTGGCTAGCAGTGATGGTGCGTCCTATCAACTTCATCAGTATTTAGGCTGATCTTTATCTTGTTTTGTGTGGCTCCTGTTTTCTTTCGCAGTTAGTTCACCACTCAGCGTGTGGAAGGGAGGACGATTAATTAATTATCAGTAGCCACATGTATCAGTCAGAGTTCTCCAGAGAAACAGAATCAATAGGATTTATCTATCTACAGATTTGTTTTAAGGAATCGGCTCACGTGATTGTGGGAACAAAGAAGTCCGCAATTTGTAGGGCAGGCTGGCATGCTGGAATTCAGGTAAGAGTTGACGTTGTAGTTTTGAATCTCAAATTCTTGGGTCGGACCAGCAGGCTGGAAACTCAGGCAGGATTCTATGTCTGGAGGCAAAATTCCTTCTCCAGGAAATTTCTTTGCTTTTAAGGCTTTCAACCAATTGGATGAGAACAACCCACATTATGGAGATAACCTGCTTAGAGTCAGATGATCATAAATGTTAATCACATTTACAAAATACATCCATGGCAACTTCTAGACTAGTGTTTGATCAAACAACTGGATACTATAGTTTAGACAAGCTGACATATAAAATCAGCTCTCATAGTCCATCCATTGTCAACTTGGCATCCAAACGTATCTCCTTGAACCGTACTTAATCTCCGTATAAAGACAATAACAAAGCCGTACTTCCTAACATGATACAGCCAAACTGACACATAAGACCAAGAATCACACCACTCTTAGCCAAAGCTCTCTTATTTTACTCTTCAGTATACTCACTGATTTAGCCGTATCACCCACCTTTCCCTCAATATACTTGTATTTTCTGTACCTCCATGTCTTTTTTTTTATGTGGCTTTCCCTACCTGGAAATACTCCCATCGTCTGCTAGTCACCTTCTACTTATCACTTAGGACTCTGAGCAAAGAGTTCTTAGCACACTGTAAAACTTAATCATGTATTTCCATAGTAATGATGTTAAGAAATAGGACGTGGTTTCTGAGTGAAGATTGAGTATAAAATAAATAAAGGTCTGACCAATCATCTGTCATAAAAATAAAGACACACCACATATCATACACTATAATAATTTAAAACATAAAGTCATAAAAGATATTGTATAAAATAGGAAATGAGCTACTCCTAACAGTGTGTGTACGTGCATGTACGTGTGTGTGTGTGCGTGTGTATGTCACATAAAAGACTGCTACTATAAACAGGGCTCATTTAAAATATAAATGCTAACTATGCCCCATGTTAGCCTGTAAACAATAATGATGTCATTAGCCTTATTTGAGTTTGAAAATAATTTGGGGGATGTATT